GGCACTTGTTTGTCATTTCTCCGATCACAAATGCAGACAGAGTTTTATGTTTACGCAGCGCAATGCAACGCAACGCGTAAAAAGACAGTATAAAGGGGCGGTCACACTGCACTTTTCGTTCCATTGACTTCCATTCATACGTATGCGAATGCGTCAGACCGGAAACGCAAGCTCATGCGAAAAATATCGCATTTCGCTGCGTTCCAAAGTTCAAGTTTGGTGAACTCTGACATGCGAATTCGCATCACGTGAAGACGTGTGACCAGTAGAAGATCGATACTTCACTGCGTGACCTCTGTACAGAAATTCAAAAATGGAGGAAGCTCTAATTTTAGCCGTAGCGCAGCGTCCTATTTTATATAATACATCTTTAAAAGATTATAAAAATCTAATATATATAGAGAGAGAACAATATAATTACTATACACAAGTGTATTATTATTAAATTACTTAATGTTGTTTGTTATTTTATATTTTCAGAATAATTTTAAAATAAATGTTGCACTCCTCAAGAACATATAAAATTATCTATTTAAAGGGAAAAACCTATAGCACTTAAAAATGTATTATATATGTACAGTCAAACCAAAATTTATTCAGACACCTTGAACATTTCATTCATTAATAGTTTATTCACTATAGTTTAAAAAAATGGTAATAAAATATGACAGAGCCGAAAGTACTCCTTGTGGCGATCCTCATCCAGCCGAAGCTCCTGAATTAAAGAATGGAACTCATTCCGAGTCGACGCCGTCGCAAAAGACACAGTACAAGCACATCTGAATCCATGTTGAGATAACCTTGGCGCGTAATGTCATATCCTGCTCCCGCCCAAATCGCAGTGGCGTCCAAAACATTTTCGGATGTTCAAAGTCTAGTGTGACTGCCCCTTGTGTCATTATAATCAGTAATTATGTCCCCACTGGATGCAACAATTTTATTCGTTTATAATGACAAATATTCAATATTCAAACAAATATTCGTTTATAATGGGTTTTAATGTTTTTGTCTCGTCGCTCCGGCCTGACAGGGCATCATAGTATGGTAGGGGCGTAACATTTCCGTCACACGCTTGAGGTATTCAGCCAATCACAACGCACTGGATAGCTGGCCAATCAGAGCACACCTTGCTTTTCAGACCGATGAGCTTTGTAAAAATCGACATGTTTCAAAAAGGCGGGGCATAGAGGAGAAACTATAATGTACAGTATGTGGAAAATAATGTGTTTTTTGAACCTTAAACCGCATAAACACATTTCATTACACTAAATACACAAAATAATGTTCTTTTTAGCAACATCATATGTCCCCTTTAAGGCCCATTCACACCAAGCATGATAAAGATATAGTTCTAAAAATAATTCTCAATATTAAAGAATAGCAGAGTCCACACCACAACTATAACGATAAAGACAAAGAGAAACGATATAGTTGGGATCACTTTCAAAACGACTTTTTTTCCAGCTGATGAACGATAAAAAATTGACAGCCAATCAGAATCCATCCTGCTGTAACGAGCTTGAGAATTTAAAGCGGCAGACGCTTTTGCGCTTGGAATAAACGGACGATATTGTTTGCTGGTGTGGACGCTAATATCGTTATCTTTATAGTTATCGTTCTTTGTGTGAATGGGGCTTTACTCTTCCTCCTGGTAATTATAGATGCGGCAATTGTGCCCAGTGTAGATCACCAATTCACCCTATGCTGCGGCGAAAAATAGTGGAGCAATATCAGGAAGGAGTTTCTCAGAGAAAAATTGCAAAGAGTTTGAAGTTATCATTATCTACAGTGTATAATATCATCCAAAGATTCAGAGAATCTGGAACAATCTCTGTGCGTAAGGGTCAAGGCCGGAAAACCATACTGGATGCCCGTGATCTTCGGGCCCTTAGACGGCACTGCATCACATACAGGAATGCTACTGTAATGGAAATCACAACATGGGCTCAGGAATACTTCCAGAAAACATTATCGGTGAACACAATCCACCGTGCCATTCGCCGTTGCCGGCTAAAACTCTATAGGTCAAAAAAGAAGCCATATCTAAACATGATCCAGAAGCGCAGGCGTATTCTCTGGGCCAAGGCTCATTTAAAATGAACTGTGGCAAAGTGGAAAACTGTTCTGTGGTCAGACGAATCAAAATTTGAAGTTCTTTTTGTAAAACTGGGACGCCATGTCATCCGGACTAAAGAGGACAAGGACAACCCAAGTTGTTATCAGTGCTCAGTTCAGAAATCAACTTATTTTTCCCTTAAAATGATCAATTTTCTCAGTTTAAACATTTGATATATCATCTGTTGTATTCTGAATAAAATATTGAAATTTGAAACTTCCACATCATTGCATTCTGTTTTTATTCACAATTTGTACAGTGTCCCAACTTTTTTGGAATCGGGTTTGTAAAACAAAGAGTCGAGTGAATCCTAGTATGGCATGTTTGCTGGATCTTATACACATTGTTTTGACTAATAATTACTTTAGTTTTCAAAATGATTACTATGTACAAGCAATGGGCAGTAAAATGACACCAAATTATGCCTACTTGTGTATGGGTGTATTTGAAAATGAATTCATTTTAAATGAATCAAATTCTTTTTTACATAAGATAATGTTTTATAAACGGCACATTGATGACATCTTTATGATAACGAAATTCTACACCCACTGAATTGTTGCTGTTTTTGAATTCTCGCAACTCTAGAACTGAACACTTGAAGTTCACTATGGAATGTGACACAGAGAGTATCAGTTTTCTTGATATAAACGTACAGATTTCTGAGGGTAAACCTCAAACTGAATTGGAAATTTGATGATACATCTGAAACACAGTGCCTACGTGCTACAGGTAATGAAACACAATCAGGCAATGGACCTATTTGTTCGGTTAGGTATTCAGCATTGAGTGGAGAATTTCGTAAGTTTCTATACAGGCATTGGCATATTATTTCCAGTGATTCTAAATTGTCTCATATTTTCAAGGATGGCCCCCGTTTGGTTTTTAAACGTCAAAGTATAGGCTGCATGACATGCTTGTAAGATCGGAGTTCCCGTCTAGTATAGTGAAACATGTTGCTCTTACTCTTCCTCCTGGTAATTATAGATGCGGCAATTGTGCCCAGTGTACTTTTTACATATAAATGTAAATCTTTCAGCCATTCACACACTGGTCATAACATACTGATACGCGGTGCAATTACTTGTTCATCTACACATGTGATTTACCTTATTCGTTGTCCGTGTGGTCTCGCTTACGTTGGTAAAACTTCTAGATCATTAGCACCCGCATTACTGAACATCGGAGTAATATTAAGACGGGAGTTGAACGCAGTCCTATAGCATCTCATTTTAACAAAGTGGGACACAATGTTAATGCCTTGCAGTCAGTGGTGGACAGTAACGAAGTAATTTTACTCCGTTACTGTACTCAAGGGTGTAACTTTGGTTTGAGAAGTGGGGGGACACAAAATGGGGGGAAAATGTTTTTGATTTGAATCCCATTTCCTGCATGTTCATACATTTAGGGACTGTGGTGATACAAAATTCAGGAAATAATTAAGTTGATTAATGATCAATTTTGGCAAAAAGAATAGTAGGCTACTAAACTATGTATAAGAAAAAGATGTCTGTCTTTATTGTTTAATAGGGGCCGATCGCCAAGACTTGAGAGAATAATTTTATAAAGTCGAAAACTTTCACCATTAATGTTTAAATAATGTGAGACTCAATTTCCACTGTTAAACAAACTTCTATTTCAAACTAACCGCTGTAACTGAAAATATAAAATAAATCACTTGTTGCACAGGACAGAATGTTCTACATCAGTGGTTCCCAGACTTTTTAGAGTGGAGTACCCCCCTGAGGCATTTCTGCTTAGGCCTACCCCCTCTCTTCCACTTAGACTGCACCTTTTCCATCAAAGGACAATATTTGCCCCCTAAATTGACTTTCCAGTGCATTTTTTTAATCTTTATAAATAGATTATTAATGTTTAAAAAAAAAAAAGTTCAATAGATTAATATGCAATGATTTAGACCTGAAAAGTGATTCTTTTAAATACTAAAAGCGCCAGTAGGTGACGGTAAGTCACTGTCTTAATGCGTGAGTCATCGAGTCATTGAGAGGAAACTTTTACAAAGGGAATGTTTTTGGGTTTATACTATAAATACGTTGTTACCTTTTGGGTTAATATCAAATTCTTCATTTAAGCCTTTTCTATAGGATTGTGTGTATTTCTTCATCTGTTTTCAGTATTGTTTGAATATTTTGAGTGATTATTGATCTGTATTGATTTGTATTTGACTTGTATTGATTTGTATGTTTATTCGAGTTTAGTATTTGTATTTGACCTGTATTGATTTGTGTGTTTATTAGAATTTAATGTGTTTTTTTTCTCCTCTCTCTCTCTTTTCTTTTCTTCTTTTTTTTGTGCGAGGTGTATTTCTTCATCTGTTTTCAGTATTGTTTGAATATTTTGAGTGATTTATTGATCTGTATTGATTTGTATTTGACTTGTATTGATTTGTATGTTTATTCGAGTTTAGTATTTGTATTTGACCTGTATTGATTTGTGTGTTTATTAGAGTTTAATGTGTTTTTTTTTCTCCTCTCTCTCTCTTTTCTTTTCTTCTTTTTTTTGTGCGAGTGTACCTGCATAGTGATTGAACGGGTCTAATTAGAATGACCACCTGTTACTTATAAAGAGTTGTACCTCAGTTCACGTTATTTATTTATTTAGTCATTTATCAAACGCTTTTATCCAAAGCGACTTACAATTTAATTTGTGCCTGACAAAGACCTGATGGTCGAAACGTTGCAATAAATTATTCTTATGGAGCAGTTATATCAGTGTGCGGACAATACGTTTGTATTTTTGCTATAGTTTGACTTTTTTGGTCCTGCACCTGAGCCCTGTGTGGGTTTGTGGGATGTGCGCAACTTTTTTATACTTTGGTTGCTGAAGAGCATTTACGCCGTTTACAACTTCACTGTCACTGATTGAACTTTCTCTCCTGCAGATGCTGCTTTCACTATAGACATGCAGAACTTCAGGAAGCCAGGTGAGAAGACCTACACACAGAGGAGCAGGCTGTTTGTGGGGAACCTGCCCACTGGAACCACAGAGGAGGATGTGGAGAAACTCTTCTCCAAGTATGGAAAACCTTCTGAGATCTTCATCAACAAGGACAGAGGCTTTGGCTTCATCAGGCTGGTGAGTTTGACCAGGCATCACCTTGAAATGAAGCAGAGAGTGACTGTGTTTATTTCAATGAGACTGACCTGAAAAAGTTTATTCATAACCAAAACTGCTTTTTTTTTGTGGTAATTTTAAACTACATTTTTAGTTAAGATCGTATTTTCATCATGGTTTTTGCAGGTCTTAAAGTCTAAATTCGCTTCCTCACAAGTAAGGTCTAAATAGGTACTAAATCGTAGCAGAAAGTACTAAATTGATAGTCATGGCATTAAATGTTGCATGCACTGCAAGAAATTAATATCTTCCTCAGTATTTTTGCATTGTTTTCCAGTATAAATGTCTAAACATCCTTAAATCAAGATATAAACTTAAGATGCAAATTGAGTAAATGAACATTCTAAAAAAACTGAATTTTTTTTTCAGCCTATTGGCAGATATTCGTTCTTGTTTGATTATTTTAAACCCACTTCATTTGTATCAATCTTTCATAAAACAAGAAAAGTAATTTTGCTTCTCAAGAAAAAGTATCTTGATTTAAAAATCTCTTAATTTAAGTGGTAACCATTTCGGCATATTGTTCCATTCAATTTGTTTCTTAAATTTTCCTTACTTAGTCTTAAGAAGTCTTAAATTCACCTTCATAAAACATGCAGAAACCATGTTTTGTGCATTTTCTTGTTTTTTTTTTGTTTTTTTTTCAATGATGTAGCAGTTCTCAAACAACAAATGACCAATGCAACTTTAACCCTGACCTGCTGCTCGCTTCTCATTAGGAAACAAAGACTCTTGCGGACATAGCAAAAGCAGAACTGGATGACACTGTGTTCCGAGGTCGCCAGATCCGTGTGCGGTTTGCCACTCATGGCGCTGCACTGATGGTCAAGAACCTGCCTCAGTTTGTGTCCAATGAGCTCCTGGAGGAGGCCTTCTCCATGTTTGGTCCGATTGAACGAGCCATTGTCATCGTCGATGATCGTGGCAGGCCAACTGGGAAGGGCATTGTGGAGTTTGCCAACAAACCGTCTGCCAGGAAAGCTCTGGACCGTTGCGGAGATGGAGCTTTCCTTCTCTCTGCGTGAGTGTCTGCTGCTCTCATCAGAAATTGTGTGTTTATGGTAGTTGGTTTACTTAAGTTTAATATTTATTCCCCCCGACCCCCAAACTCAGTTTCCCCAGGCCTGTCACCGTTGAGCCGATGGAGCAGCTTGATGAGGATGAGGGACTTCCTGAGAGACTTGTTAACAAAAATGCAATATATCACAAGTGAGTTCATGTTCTGAAATGTATTACGTAAACAGTAATGTGCAACCAGATGGTTATACGCATGGGAAACTTGGAAATATTAAAAAAGGGTTTGTCAGACACTGAAAAGTTATGGAAATTTATAAAATTATAAAAAGTAATGGAATATAGTGTCGTGAATATAATTTATTCTAGATGTGCTCTAAATGTATTTATTTTGATGCGTTTTTTTTATTAATAGCAACCTTTATCAAATTATTTAAAAAAACTGTCTCCATTAAGCAAAAAATAATTGTTCAAAGAGGTGTGGGAAATTGTGACTTTATAATAGGATATCACATCATTAAAGAAGAGTTGAATAATTGTTCATTTTTGTTACAATGACGTTTAAGTGTACATTATCGCACTTATTACGTGGCTACTCACCACATACATAAACTGATGTGTCTTCCGTCCATTAGAGAACGTGAGCAGCCACCCCGGTTCGCTCAGCCTGGCTCGTTTGAATACGAGTATGCTATGCGCTGGAAGGCCTTAATGGAAATGGAAAAGCAGCAGTTCGAACAGGTTGATAGAAACATCAAAGAGGCCCAAGAAAAGCTGGAGACCGAAATGGAAGCAGGACGACATGAGCACCAAGTCATGTTGATGAGACAAGGTGAGTGCACACAGGTTGCCATTTTTTGGGAATGGTTAACCCCAAATTTTTTTTTTCAATCATCTTTTAGAACAGAAATTCTTTTTTTGTTTTTGTTGGAGTCAGCTGAACCCTTTTGAGTTAAAACATTTGCCCCCTGGGAATTGAAGTTAATATTTAAATCATTTAACACATTGCCTGTTCACGGTTCTCTGATGTTGGTCACATGACATGCAGGTAATCAAATAAAATATTTAATATTAAATGAATCGATTCACTCAATTCACGAGCAATATGATTCATATCGATGTGATATCATGTCCACATTTTTCAGCAGAACATGCATTTGAAGCAAAAACAGAATGGCAGTGCATTTATAAATACAGGAATATAATTCACTTCACAGCTTTGAAAGTTGTCATACTGCTGTTCTTTTCACACTACACAACTGTCTTTTGTCACCAATGTCAGTTCCACTCAAAACACATTACACACTACAGGACTTGGATTGCAGACTAGATATTTAACCTGCTGACTATCTCTTGGGCATCAGTGCTTCTCTCAGATCGTGTCTTTGATCATTTAAACACAGCAATCATTACTCGGGTGAACAAGCACCCATGTGTCTCTGATTTTGGCCTTTTGTCGACAAGCTTCATGAACTGTCAGCGAGCCGAAAATCCCATCTGAAATTGTATAGTGTTAGCTGTTGTGCCTTTTCCATATTAAAACATTTTGTGCTCAATTTGTCCCATCATGATTGTTGTTTTTAATACAAGTTATAAGTATAATGTTGGTGTAATATCAAGTGAATAATCTCAAAATCAAAGCCCTTGCACTTCCTCTAGCAGTTCTTGAACCCAAGAATAGTCAGGTGAACCTAGAATCAGCCTATTTCGATGACTAGTAGTTCAGGCAGACCACAAACTAGTTGATTTTGAGACATCCCTAGTCAGCAATCACATCATACAGCAGTTAGTCATGTCTGTTTCTGTCTCGGCTTCAGATCTCCTGCGCAGACAGGAAGAGTTGAGGAGAATGGAGGAGGCTCATAGCCAGGAAGTGCAGAAACGGAAACAGATGGAGCTGCGTCAGGAGGAGGAGCGACGGAGGAGAGAGGAGGAGCTCCGTGCCCACTCTGAGGACTTGATGAGGAGACAGCAGGGGCAGGGAGGCAACTTCTCTGAGAAGGTGAGTCTGAATTGTCTGAGGTTTCCAAGCTCCACAGTTATTGTCTGCATTTCTGAGGATTTTTAATTTGTTGAATTTGTTTGCTTTTTCAGAGGGATCCAGACATGAGGATGCATATGGGAGGTAAGAAACGGACTTGAACATACTGTGATCAACAACACTATACTCACCTTTACACTACTGAATTTTTAACCTTTTAAATATGAGTATCATAGCAAGAACAGCTTAACTGTCTTTCTGTGCTGAAAATCCAAAATCAGCCTTTTAGCTTGTCAATCTCTCTCATTATCCTATACTATCACCACATCTTAGATTCAATCTTTTTGTCAGCATCTTTTCTATCAATTAGCACGGGTTTTGTGCCGGGTTTTAAAAAAAAAATTTTTTTTTAGAACTTATTGGACATCAGCCTCATTTATCTGCGCTTATGCAGCTCAGTTTTGGAGTGGAAAAAAAGCCTTATTTGTGGATAATTTTGGCAGTGTTCACTCAAAAATGAGGTGCATGAACGCAGATCAGAAAGGCCTACGATCAGTCAGTTTGAAAAATAAATTTAAAAAACTGCTATTTGAAAGAAAGCCAGTTGATAAAAAGATTGAACCCACTATTTGGTAATAATTAGGGCTGCCACTAACGACTATTTTTATTTCGATTAATCTATTGACTAATTTATCGATTAATCTAAACGATTAATTTCCCGCAAAAATTCAATTTTACTTAAGAATATTTTATTAAACTATTTTATTAAACCAAATGAAATCCAAATTTCTAT